TGTTTGTGTTAAAAATGTCAGCTGAAACACAATTTTTGGTCGAAAGCTTTTTTTCGGGTAGAAAGAAAGTGGAATAGAGAGGCGAAGAAAAAATTAAACACGCGCGCGTCTACGCTCTTCGATTAATCGAACGGCTCTCAGGTCCGTGGCCATATCGGACGAGTATCGGCGGGTAATTGGGCGGCCTAATACGTCTCTCTCTTTCCCTCCCCCTCCTCCGGCCGGCCTGGGCCAGGCCGGGGTGGTCAGGGGGTGCACAACAGCTCTATCGCAGCGCCGCACGAAACGTATATGCGCTTTTTATAATCACGATTTTTTTCCTCGAAAGCATTTATTGCCTGCGGGGGGGTGGAAAAAAAAGAAATAATGCAGTGGAAAAAATGCGTGTGGTGCGCTTTTAGAAGGATATGAGGGCCTAAAACAAAATCGAAAGGACTTCGCGCCGGAACCGATTATGTAAAATAAAGAAGAGAGGGAAAAAGGGAGAGAATGGGATCAAGCAAACTCAACGGCGGAGCGAAAGACATACGACGAGCACGCTATCAAGCATCACATCCACTCCACTCCTTGTCCGTCTCATTTTCCGTAATTCCAGCGAGGGAAGCGACCTGTTTCACACTGCACTCCTCGCCTCTCTTCTCCAGGACCTTGTCCAGGACCTTGTCCAGGATGACGACGCCGCGCCGACGCCGCCTTGCAGTAATTGCCTATTCCATTCCACAGAAAAGGTGCTTCTGTTTCATTAGGGTTGGTTGGGTTCGTTTTAACTTTATTTTAGCATACTAATAGGCTCTCGTTTCCGCCTCAAGGAGAGGAGAGTGGTGGCCGCGCGCGGGACTTGCTTGATGCTCTTCATTGAGGAGCTCTGGCCGCGGAATGATGTTAGCGGCAGCCTCAGCCCCCTGGCTCTCCGCTGGCTGCTGCTGCTGGCGCCCAAACCTGAGGGGCGCTGAGCATTACCCCTCTGCGCGTTATACAGGGGAATAGCTTTAACATGGTTTCATAACCGCAATGCTTACCTCCTCCTGTACCCCCGTCGTTTTTCACTCATTTTTTTTCTTTCCTCTTCGCACCATTGCTGCGCCGCGGAGCAGAAATACATAGACGGCAGCTGATCCCCTTTGCTGCTGCTGCTGCTGCTGCTGCTTCTGCTGAAACTCGTTCGAGACGTTCACGTTATGGCGAGGCGTAAGATAAGGAGAAAAGGGCGGCACAGACAGACGTACAACACAACACCAACCGGCAACCGCCCATAGCCCGACCTTGTGTGCAACGCCGAGCCCCTTTTACTTTTACAAATGCTCAAATGTTGGCATAAATCACCACAACCGCTGTTGCCTCGCCCTGTCCTTTTCTTCCCCTCTCCTCCCCTCCCCCCTCCTCCTCCCCTCTCCCGCCAACGTAATTGTTGGACATCGCGAGTAAGGCCCCCGAGGCGAGCGGACTGCAGCCGCCACTGCTGCTGCTTGGCCTGCTGCCGCTGGCTTCAGGTGGCAACAAAACACGACAGCAACGACGCTGTAAACTCCTTAGTTCAGGACGGCAATTACGACATTTGCAGCCCCCGCTTCGCCCCTGCCCCTTCTCCACAGTTGCAGCGAGCCTACGCCTTCTGCTACCCGTAATTATTATGCGAGCTCAAATGTTTTGTCCGGTCCTGATGTCCACCGCCCTCGGGCCCTCGAGTCCTCTCTTGTCTTGCTCTTCTTCCCCCTGCCGTGCTGTGCATATCCTCCCCCCCCCCTCCTTAACCTTACCTCTTCCCTTCCTTCAAATACCGTCGCTTTGTTATAACAAAGCCGAAAGAGCGGGCTAAAAACCAGCGTAAAAAAAACTGCATGACGAAGATTGCAAAGAAAAGTGCAAAAACTAAGGTGTCTACTAATGACGTTTCGTGTTGAATAAAATAAAAACCCAACAACAGTGCCCCGCTGCTGACTCTCATTGCG